CTTGCAGCGCTGGACAAATCGAGGGTACAAGCACACATCTCGGATATGGTATCTATTCAGGATCCAAGTCAGGAACTGCTCCAGGCCCAAGTCATATCCTCCATGAGTACATGGACCATATTTTCTCTGATCTGTATACCAGTAGTAAGGAGTGGGATCAATACCATCCCTTTTATAACCTGCCAGGATTTCTTCATTATCCCAGATGCACATGGAGCCGCCCACAATCTCACCAACATTGGGCATCAACACGTCGACTGATTAAGTAAGAAGGGGATCCTCAGGACATCGCTGCATATAGAAGGATTTGATCTCCACAGGAAATTGACACAGCAAGATTGGTTCATTAATGGTGTCTGTCATCTGTCTCTCAGGAGCTTCTGGGATATTCTCTCCAAATTCATAGAAAGTCCCATCTTCTTTCTTTATATTATGTTCTTTTAACCACACAATAGCATCTGTGTAGTTCATCCGTCTGAAAGGTCGTTTGGGGGGCTTAAAGTTCGGGTTGAGATCCAATACTATGCTTCCTGCTGGCGACTTTAAGATTCTATCTACAATGTCACAAACTAAGTCCTCCAACTGCTTCAGGAGATCCTCAAAGGTCAGGAAAGGGCACTCTGCTTCCACGTGAGTGTCCTCAGCCAGGTGCCTTCGTGTCCTGGACTGTTCTGCCCTGTATGATTGTGCAATACAGAACACATCTCCCAGGGCTGGAAGGCAGGTCTCCAGGTACAACTGAGAGGACTGAGTTAAAAATGCCTCTTCTCCAAAGTAGTCCAGCTTGAAGAGTGTGGAGCCGCCTTCAACCTGCGTTTGCACTAATGTCGGAGGAGTAACTTCATAGTACCCCCTATCAAAGAAGTGGTCTCGGAAGCACCTGGTCACCACAGAGCATGCTCGCAGGATTTTGGACATGTTTTCTCCCCGGATCATCATGTGCCTGTTGTTGAGCTGGACATCCATATTGGACTCTTCGTTGATCAGGTTATCAGCTCCTCTGGCAGAAGCCAGCCCTGTGAGTTCCCAGAAGTCACAGTTCAGCTCATGGCCTCCTGGAGCTTGTTTGCCTTTTGGGGTAAGAGCTAGTGTTCCATATACTGCAACACTACTCTCAGTAGATAAGACTACTCCATTGTAACACTGGCACAAAGCATCGGACAAGACACACTGAAGGAAACCTGTACCATCCCGCAACACCAGGAACATTAAATTCTTTCCTTGTCTACGCAGCCTGTGGACCCAGCCAAATAACTTTACTCTTTGGCCTCTATATCCTTCTAATGCACAAATCTTCACACACTTGGGCTCTGGCAGAC